ATCACTCCCTAAAATCCCTGTACTTGTATAGGAGACATGTTATTTAAAGATATGACTTGGATGCCTTCACACCCCATCCTGCTAGCACGGAGCCCTGAGGAGGGCCGGCAGGCCCCAGCGCCCGGCGGCTCTCCCAGGCCGGCCCCATTCTCGTCTCGGCGGCCCACAGGCTGGCCTTCCCTGCGGGTCAGCCCAGCTCCCCAGCGAGCGCCGCATCGGAATGGTTGGGGACCCAAGGCAATCCATTCTATTCTTCTTATAAGCTCCTCCTCTTTAATTTTTTTCTTAATGTTCTGTTTCTCAACTGTCTTTCTTCTTGTTTACCACTAACAAAGCCAGTTCTGAAGATCAGCTGCTCTATCGCAGGGGGCTGGCAGGGTTGGCTCCTTCGGCACGCACCGAGGGAGGCTCTGGCCAGGCCTCCCTCCCAGCTGCCGGGGGCTCCTGGAAATCCCGGACGTTCCTTGGCTTGTAGATGCACCTCCCCAAGCTCTGCCTCTTCGCGTGGCTGTCTTCCCTCTGTGTTTATAAGCTTTTAGGAAGCTTATCCCTACATAATTCAGCCTGGGTGAAAGTCATCAGCCTGGGACACAATGAGCTGTGTAATTAATGCACTTTGGAATTAATGCATCTGTAACCATGGTGGGGTAAGCAGGTGCCCCCGAAAACAGTCCCAGCATGAATGTTCCCTGACATGGTGAACGGGACTTTGCAAATGCAATGAAGTTAAGGACCATGAGATGGGGAGCTCCTGGATCATCCAGATGGGCCCGATGGGGCCACGAGGTCCTGCTCGGTGGGAGGTCGGGTGACGGAGCAGAGGTCAGTGACTTGACTGCTGGAAGGGGCCACCAAGCCAAGACTGCGGGAGGCCTCAGCAGCCAGAAAAGGCAGGAAACAGGCTCTCCCTTAGGCCTCGGGAAGGAACGTGGCCCTGACAACACCTTGACTGGAAGCCACTGAAACTTATTTGGACACCTGACCTTCAAGACCACAAGGGAGTAGATCTGGGTTGTCTTTAAGCCCCTGAATTTGTAGTAATTTGTTACAGCAGCCACAGGAAATTGATACAATACCACGGGTCCTCTAGAAACCATCTAGGGCGACACCACCTTGTGCTTACTTACGAAGAAAAGTGCTTCTGGCCACACTGGATGTCTGATGGGTGACATGTGGGTGCCTGGTGCTACCCTCCCTCAGTGCTCAGCTGGGGGAGCCAGAGGGCTCAGAGGCCCCTGTGTCAACCTGGCACGGCCCCTCACCCTGGGCTTGTGCACCAGGAGGCTCCTGCTCCTGGGATGCAGCGCACCGTCTTGGCCACACCTGTCCCAGCCCTGGTGTCTCCAGGCTTTGTGATGTCTTAGCATACGGGAGGAAAGGGAACCCCACCAAAATGTATCCCTCTTACATCATTTTCGATCTTTGCTAAGTCATCTTCTTACCAGCTTGTATACAGCTGTCCAAGTCAATACCCCAGAATCACCCCCAAATCATTCGCCTCCCAAGATGCCACCCACCCAAGAGACAGCCATCAAACTCGACCTCTACAACATTGTCTAAATCAGAGTGCATCTTGCCACCCAATTCAAGCTGCTGTTTTATCCCTCTGGAACACTAGGGTACAGTGGTGCCCTGACGTCCGTCCTGCTTCCCCACAGTGAGCTCTGAGAGACACAAGTCAGACCACACTGCTTCCCTGACAGACACCTTCCTATGGCTCATCACTTCCCACTTCCCACGCCTGCTTCACCCCCATTCCTTTAGGATCCAGCTTCCTCATCTCAGCGTTCACAGCTTTCTCTCCCGTGTCCCCAGTCAGCCTTCTTGCTGGTGCTCAAACACACCGTCCAGGCCTCAGGGATCCTGGTCTTGTCGTGTCTGGCTCCTCGAAGCCTGTGTCTGGAGTGCTGACTTTATGGGAACTCTCTGGGATGCCGACAGCCTGTGCCTGGAGGCCTGAGATCCTGGGGGACAGGGCCCCACATCTGGGGGGGTGTAGAGCATGGGCCACGCTCCCTGGGGGCCAGCTGCTTTACAGCAGGCAGTCCCCACCTGAGAGAGGTCCACCCATGTGCCGGCATGTATTGGCACTGCCCCTTATGACTGAGCAGGCTTCCATCATATGGATGGACTGGTTGTTCACCCCTCACCCTCCAAGGGACGTGTGCTGCTTCCAGATTTTGGTGATTGTAAGCAACTACACACATTTGTGTGCAGATTTTTATGTGAGTGTAAGTTTTTGTTTCTCTGGGGCCAAACCCAGGGGCAGGGTTGCTGGGAGACCCGTAAGTGTACATTGAACTTCGAATGGCTGTACCAGTTTCCAGGCCCACCAGTGGGGGAGGAGGGGCCAGGTGCTCTGCATTCTTGCTAGAGGTTTACCGATATATTTTATGATTTAGCCGTTCTACTAGCTATGTGGTAGCATCTCCCTGTGAGTTTAAATTGTACTTCTCTAATGTTTAATGATGCTATGTTTTCAGGTGTTGTGTGTCATCTGTACACCTTTGATAAAAATGTTCAAAATTTTTTTTTGTCCATTTTTGTTTGGGTTGCTTATTTTCTTATTTTTTTAATTGGAGAGTTCTTTATATATTCTGGGTGTAAGTCCTTTATCAGATGAGATTTGCAAATAGTTTCTCAGGGTTTCTTTGTAATATTCTTCACAGAATGTTAGTTCTTTAATTTGATGGAGTATAATTTATCAATAGTTCTGTTACATATAGTGCCTTTGGTGTTACATCTAAGAACTCTCTGCCTAAAAAAAAGTCATGAAGATTTGTATCCTGTGTTTGCTTCTAAGAGTTTTACCATTCTATGTTTCAGGCTGATCCATTCTGGGGTTGCCTTTGTGTATAGCGTGAGGCTCAGGTCTGGTCTGGCAGGTGAATGTCCAAGTGCTCCAGCAACATCTGTTGAAAAGACCGACTTTTTCACTGAACTGCCTTTGCTCCTGTGTCAAAACCAATGGGCCACATTTGTGTGGGGCTATTTCTAGGCTCCCCTTCTAGAAGCTCCATGATGGTTGTTCCCTCAGACACCACGCTGTCTTCATTACTGAAGCCTTACAGTCAGGTAGTGTTAGTCGTCCAAATCTGCTCTTCTCTCAAAACTTTTGGCTAGGCAGCTAGCTCCCGTTTCTCTACCCACATAGGTTGGAATCAGCTTGCCTATCTTCAAAGAATTCTGAGATTCTAACTGGGAATTTGTTAAGTCAACAGAGTGATTTGGGGAGGAGTGACATTTTAGCTATATTGAGTCTTCCAATCCAGGGAGCCAGTGGGTCTCCATTTCTTTAGTACTTTGCATTTTTTGTATCAGTGTCTTATAGTTTTCAGCATATACATCCTGCACAGAGTTTTATGTTAGAAATACTAACATAAAATTTATACTTAAATGTCTCAATGTTGACTTTGCATTACTATAACCTTGTATCTTGACAATTTGCTGAACTCATTAGTTCTGAGAGTTTTGTGTATTTCTTGCAATTGTTGACACAGTCATGTTGTCTGTAAAGAGGGTCAGTTTCGTTTCCTCCTCTCTAACCGAAATGTCTTCTGTTTCATTTTCTTGCCTTATTGCACTGGCTTGGCAGAGAGGTCCAGGTGGGAAGTCCTGTCTGAGCACTGAAAGTTTACTTAATAACATGTTTCCCATCCTGCCTGTCTCCCACATACCGGTTAATCCCACATGCAGTTATTGTAAACTAAACTTGCATCTGGTTCTATTTCCATGTACGGTAAGTGGGAGAACAACGGCAGTGCACAAAGCAGGAAAAGAGGCACCCAGGGCGTCAGCCCGTACCCACGGTGACGGTCAGAGCTGACCTGTGTCTGCCTTCCCTGGCCTGCCCAAAGTCCCCCGAGAATAGCTGGGTACAGAATCAAGTACAGATGCATATCCCCATAAAACATAGGACATTTTTTCCTCTGAGACATGAGGGAAGGAAGAGCTGACTGATAAGACACAGAGACATGGGAACTGGAGAGAAAGAACACAGGGTGTTCACAGAAGCTAGAGTAATAAATGGTATTTTATACAAATAAATGTGGATCGGTGCTAACATATAATCAGGTAAAGTAACACCCAATGGCTACCAATGCAAATAGTACTTTGGGAATGTCAACCTTTCCTACTTCATGACTTTAAACACTAATGCCTCAAACCTCTTGAACTAGAGAGATGCAGGGTTAAATCATGACATGGGGATAAGGCCACAGCCTTAAGAGCACATCTGTGGATTGTTTGCATATTATAATTCCACTGGTTTAAATGAACACAGTATCACTATAATACATTCTCAGGGGGAGGGGGAGGGAGGACAGACAGCAGATGCGGAACAGTGACAAACGATGCTACTCCCCCATCAGACGGCGATGCTCTGGAGACCTCAGGTTGCAGGGCAAAGTAAAAATAGAAAGAGCAACAAACAATTTCAGCTTTCATGAATAATGAAAACAATAATTAAAAAGAAAATCTACCTTTAATGCTCAGAAATAAGGGCAAGCAATGTTACAGATAGATATCCTTAAGATAAAACATATCCAAACAGAATTAAATGAACATGTTCCATCCTAAGTAAATCCATCTGTAAAAACAATCACTGGATTCTTTTGGCTTTCTAAACTGTCACTCGCATAGGTCACATTATTTCTTGGTCAAACGCAGAAGAAAGTTCACTTGACTGTGAGAACATGCATTCCGTGCCTTCATTCCAAGTCTGCCCTAACCTCGTCTGCCCGTGGCTCCGAGGTCTTTATCTGGGGGCTGGTTGTTCTCCGGCGCTCAGTGCTCACCACACCCCCGGCCCACAGGGCCCGGCAGTGGCTGGAGGGGGTGAGCCAAGGGTGAAGAGAGCAAGGAGAGGGTGGCGGTGGGTCCCGGACAGTGGGCGAGATAGCAGGATGTGTGGCTGCACCACCTCAGGGTGCCCAGACCCACCAGATGCCCCATTTTAAGATGCGCAGCTCAGACCTGCGCCGTGCACACAGACCACTTACCCATTCGTAGGCGAGGACCCAGCAGCCGCGGGCAATGCCCAGCAGCACGTTCAGCGTGCGCAGGGGCCTCCCGGCCAGCACGTGAGTGGTGGTCTCACACACTTCGGGGGCGAGGGAAAAGCCCTTCAGTTTATTCACAACCTGGATGACGACGCTCTGCTTTCTATCAGATGGGAGGAAATGACAAAACGAATATGTGTTCATTACACTCAGGGAAAACCAAACCAGAGAGCTAAAATCCCACACTGACTTCAGCTATGGCGCCCATCTCTCAATTTCCTTACCGTCAATGACATGAAATTTAGGGAAATAAAAAGACTTTGCATCTCAACTCCAATGGCCTGTTTTAGTGGCCGAGAAAACCAAGGCCCAAGGCTGTCCGTGGCTTCCTCTGGGGCTGTGGGCAGGAACCAGCCGGTGCCAGACACCAGACCTCCCGGCACAGCCCGGGACGGACTCACCACAGTGTCATGTACTTCTCACACTATCTGAGCTTCTAGCTTGCTTATTTGAAAATACAACATTTACAGAGTTCAAACCCGTAGTTTTTCTGCTAATAGCTGGGAAAGGGCCCTTTCCATTAAACCATCAGATCAAATCTTAGGGCAGATTTGACAGAAGCCCCTTGTTTTCACATAGCTCATTATTACAAAGCTTACTTTCACAAATGGACCTGTTTATTTTCTGGTCTGTTATTCCATTACTGCCTTCAGTACCTTTTCTCAAAAAACTATTCTTCCTGTCCGACTTCCTTACAAAATAACACTCCATTCTCCCTCTCTTCCTTTTATGACCACTTTCCTAGTGCCTTTGGTTGAGCCACACTGCTTTTTCCCCTCCCAGCAAGTTTTGGAAATCCCCAATGGAATACAAAGGACACCAAGGACGTCCTAGGCCACACCACGAGTACACAATGAGTTAAGAAACAAACTTCTTTCCTCTCCAAAATTACACGACCAAGGGAGAGGGGTGGTTTTCACTCTCGCTGATACAGACCAACCTCCCCCTGTCTACTTCATGTGTTTCTTAGTTTTATCTCTAGTGATCTTGGGTATGTCAGTCAATCGCAGGACCTGTTTCTTTGCAAAATGAAAGGGTTCAACTCTATCATGATTTTAAATTCCTGGAGCTCCCTAGGGTAGAGGAGATAAATGAGCCACGACGTGGGCCCCATTTCCACTTCAGCCAGACAATCTGCTTACTGGGCTTGTGGAAAATATTAAATTTGGGGTAAAAGACAAAAAAAGCAAGAAGCAAAAATCTCTAAACAAGATGCTTCAGAACCCTTCATTTCTGTGTATCTGTGATGTCCCTCATTCCGAGTCTGGCAGCTGCTGGCTATTTGCTGGACGTGTTAATAGGTAACAAGTGTCTTTCCAAGACAGGCTGATCAGTGGAGCATCAGAACGCCTAGGTCTTGTTCTTAAGTTCAGACCGGAAGTGTAGGTGGAGAAAAAGAATAGAATGAGAACATGGCCTACCTGGAAATTTGATCTTCAAATCTTTGATAACTAATTACATTTGTGGCAACAATCCAGACATTTAAAAATATTATACCCATATTCAATATTCATTTCTGCATTACACTATTTAGCATGTTCAGCATATTTCATAAGAGATTAACAAGAATTGTGTGTGTGCTCCTTTTCACTAGCTAATATACAGTGTGAGGATGACCCGTCCTTTTAACTTCAGGCTGGTGGGAGGAGGATCCTGCACCAGAAGTGTTCAAACCCTCTGTGCAGCCTACTTTACACTGAAATGTCCCAAAGTTTTGACAAATGTCTGAAAACATATGATTGATACAAAAAACATGGTTTTCCCCTAAACAGGAATTCAAAAATCCGTTACAAAGAATATGGTGCTATATTTTTGTTGGACATGCTATACTGTGTTAAATGTTTAAGGAAGATGATAAGAGCCTGCCAGCAAGCTATTAACTCCTTCACAAAATGTGCAGATAGCTGCTTGAATGCAGCTGCAGAAAGCTTCCCACTGAAGCATTTCTCAAAGGCCTTTAGGGGAAGCAGCCAGCTAAGAAAGCTGCATGTATTGAGCTTTCCAGGGGTGGAGGTGGTAGACACAGAGCCAGCAGGTGCAAAGCAAGCAGGGAAGGGCATAGACTGCAGCGCCTCTTAATGCAGTCTGGACCCCTCAGAAAGTCTACCATGGTGCACGGGTTGCAGTCTTTCAAACCACCTTTACTTCCAGTGATCTTCGGCTTCAGACGTTAACTATATAGACTAACAGGGATACAGTACAGATGGAGTGCCTGAAAGCATGACCATCCCAGTATGTAAAAGAAAAGGCTGACATTGTACCCTGAGTAGGAAGCTATCAAAACAATGATACTTACTCAGATGGCATGCTCGTCATGACTAATGTTCTTGTTGGCTAGACGTTTCAAAAGAGAAGGAACAAAAAACAGTCAAAAATATAAAAAATATTTTTTTCCCACAGAAATAAACTTGAGTACGTTTTTTGAAAAGTTACATCACTTAAAAATAAATATTTAAGCATATATCAAAGAAAAAAACTTTATATTCCTGGAAAAAAAACAGCCCAAGAGATAGAGACTTAGATATTATTCCCAAACCAAACCAAATTTCAGGACATGAGTTAGAAGAGAGAAAAAAAAATGTGTTTCCCTGCAGCAGCAGGTTCGACCAGTCAGCACAGTGGCGCTCCAAGGTACCATCCCGTCTATGGGCTTCCAAGGAAGGAGAGGGTGAGGCCTTTGCATGCAGGCTGAGGTCCAGTGCCCTATGGCTTCCTGGGAACCATACCCTCGCCTTATACCCACGCGTGCAATGATCCTTGTGCTTCTGTTCCGTGGGTCAAATCTTTCAACCCTTGCACACACAAGCACAGATTCAGGGAACTGCTTGATTACATGCTGGGCATCTGCTATTAACTGTCATTCAAAGCACGCTGACAGCAAAACAAAATGAAATGTTTTGGGAATATATCATTAGAAATATAAATTCCCCTGTAATTCCACCATTCAGAAATGACTATTGTTTAATCATCTGGTGTATATTCTCCCAAATGTTCTATGGGAGTTGTGGATATAAATTTTTTTTCAAAAACAAAAACAGACTCACATTATTTGTGCGCTTTTGTAACTCAGATGAGATACTCCAAATGCAACCAACCGCACGGCGTGACCGTGGAGGAGCCACTACACCTTCAGCCATGTCCTGACTGGGCTGCGTGGTTCAGTGAGACGAGGAATGCAAGGCATTCCGGGGCCCCAGGCGGACACCATGATGGCCCTGAGGGTGTGTGTGCTGTCTGGGTATCACGGGAACGGCGAAGGGCGGAGAATGGCGAGACAACAAGCATCAGAAGACGTTCAAAGGAAGGGGTCAGGGAAGTGACAGAAGAGCAAATGGGGCCATGAAGGCTACCCGTCTCCTTAGCTATCTCTCCCTCTCGTCTGCTTCAGACGCCGGGCCAACCGTGGCGTGGCCTGTGGGCTGTCTGGAGACGAGACCCTGACGAAGGACTTCCTTCCTCATCCCCTAGCCAGTCTGGCTGAAACCGCATCCTTGAATGAGGACCACCCTGGCTCGTGATGTGACCAGCCCCAAATAACATCCAAGAGCAGCCCACTCCACGGCATCCGCTTTCTCCGTGGAGCCATCCAGAGGAGGCCCCTGGGGTTTCATCTGTGGGAAGCACCCCAGCTCAAGGAGCACAGGATACGGAGTGGGGAGGAAATGCTCTGACTTGCACCATGCAAGGTTCCTGCTGCGTGACTTTGTGCCCATGTCTTCACCCACGCCACCTCCCTAGGTAGCCTCACACACACCTGTGGCTTCACGTGCCAGCTCCATGCTGACGGCTCCCACTTCCTACCTCCAGACTCAGATACTCCACTGCATACTTGACACGTCCATTTCGAAACATAATAAGGACCTCAAATTTGACATGTCCTGAACTAAAGTTCTGTTCTAGCCAGGCAATTAGGCAAGAAAAAGAAAAAAAAAACATCAAATTGGGAAGGAAGTAAAATTGTTTCTATTCACAAATAAGATGATGTTAAATGCAGAAAATCCTAAAGAATCCACAGAAAACATTATAACTGATAAATGAATTCAGCATATAATCTACGATCTATTTTATTACTATCTACTAGTATCACTCAGGAAAAGAAAACCATGAACAGGACGTCTATTAGGTCTGAGGGAAAGAATGCTTGGACAGTTCAGTCAGCCCGAGGCTTGATAGGAACTCTCATCAGAGGCTGCAGGGGAGGAACTGTTTTTATAAGGAAACTCAAAACCCAGAATGGAAGTCCGAATGGTAAGAAAAAATATACAGAAGGTAAAAAATCAGTCCAAACAAGAAAGAATATTGTGCTTCTATATCCCTCTGACTTGCAGATGTCTGATAAGAAATCCAGAAGACTGAATGTTCATTTACATGGTCCAGTCACAGAACCTGAAAGAGACAAGCTCTCCCTAGAGTATGATGCTAAAGAATGCCAAGATGGACAGCACAAGTTCAGACCAGTCTGACAAATGAGCCCCAGCCTGAAATACAGTGATGAAATGAAAAGAGCAGTCTTATTAAGAGTAAGCATATCTACTTATCTTATAAATTAGGAATTGGAAAATACATCCAGTAAAATGCTCTTGATTAATCAAGAAAGTTTCTTAAAAAAATGACACGTATTGTTATCTGCAATTTATTTAGCAATGAACAACACAGTAAGATGGTTGATGGACGGAGGAATGGGTAGATATATGATAAAGTAACTATAAGAAAGAGTTAGTTGTAGTCAAGGCTGGGGTGAAAAACTGGAATTACCGGTTGTCTTGAATGGAAAGCCACGTTATTATTCAGCACACATACTCCTCAAGACTTTCTGCTTACATGGTGTTTATACTTTCCACTCTCTTTGAGCCACTTTACAACTCTGTTAGTTGCAGAAAATTGATAGTAATGAAAATGATTCTTGTCTATAGAAATGCAAAATCTGCCCAGTGGAGGGGCAGTTGACTTCCCTCTCCCACTGGGGAAAAAGCCAGCATGGGACCCATTAGTAAAGCCACTTCAGCACTCCTAAAGGTCCCTGAGTCTGCTCTGTGGATTCTCCTTGGAAGGACAAACACTCAAGCAATACCTAGTAAAACCAGCCTTAGTTTGTAGTCAAGAATATGTCTGAGGTTCTTTTGATCACAAAAGACAGAAATTGTACACAGAAAACACTGTGAAAAAACTTGAATAGAATGAATGGTTACTGGGTGACTTTATGGGGAAACTATGAATTGTCTGAGGACACATTCTTTAGGGCTATCTGAGTCCATGGGCTTTATGATTTAATTGTCTTTGAGCTATTTACTACTCTGTCGATTGTAGTAAGCTGATAATGCAAATAATTCTTGTCTATAGACACAGCACATAAGCCCAGTGGAGTTCAGCTGACCTCCTTCCCAGGCTGGGAGAGGCTGTTCCTGCACATACGAAGCGAAGGCCTTTCAGCGCTCCAGGAGCCCATCAGCGTGCACAGTCACTGGGCTCCCCTCTGAACAGGACACAACAGCTGTCTGGTTCCTCCATTAATTAGTGAGTTAAGTAACACTCACTTCATATTAGTAAGAAAACAATGATTGTAACCTTCTAAAAAAAGTATCTTTCAGGAGTGGTGGGTATGCGGATGTGTTAACAATTATTTCATCTTTTCTCTGTTTGGAAAAAAAATTTTGTTGGAGAAGGCTAGAAGACAGTTTTATTTAGCAAGGAAAAAGTACACTCTTGGAGACAGAGCAGATGGCCTGAGAGGTCAGGAACAGCCTGAAAATTTTTATAATAAAATTTTAAAAATATTATTCAGGTGCATATATTTTTTTTAATTGGCAAGGCATATGACAACTAATGCAAAAACACCTCAAGGGCTGAGTTATTATAGTGATCAGTACATTGATCCCATACAGCACAGCAATGCAGCCTGCACACAGCAGGTTCTGTGGCACTGAATAAAATTTCTATATACAAAAGCCAATGTATTTTTCTGCTTATGATTATGCCACCGTTACTGGAAATTCCACAAGTACCTCCTAGCGATCAATCACACAAAAACAATACGTGAAGCACAAGAAGTTCAATCAGCTGCTCAAGGACCCAGAGTAAGAATGTAACTCGGGAAATCTCTCTGCAGCTCCCGTGTTATGATTTCATATTTGACAGGCCACTTGGCCTTTCCTCATCGCATGTGTCTCTTCTAAGAAATGAGATAATGAATTACTACTCCCAGAGCGCTACACGATTAGTAATTCTGTAGAAAGTAAATATTGAGCTAGCAGTTGTAAATCATAGCCTTCACAACGTGTAATTTCAAGAGAGTATAGCCATTTGTAACTTAGTCATTATCTCTGTAACCTTTGCTACCTGTCACATTTCACTGATGGCAATAAAAACGGAGAGAAGGTTTGGCCACTTTATTCTCTTTAGTAATGATAACCTGCTCCTCCAACCCCATGACCAAGAAGATTTACATGAAAGGTGATACATGCGGGGTACGCGAGGAAACCACCTTCTAGAAACCCTGGCCCCAGAGCCTCCGAGACGAGCCGGCCTGCACACCGAGATGCTCGCCCACCAGCCTCTGGGCCCACTGGACCAATGCCCTCTGGGTTCAGCTCCTGACTGTAATACCATCTCCTGTGTTAATTTACTGCACTGTTTCATTTTAGGAATCCCTCAAGATGCCTGATCTCCAGGACCCTGAAACAACTGAGCTTTGCCAGCCCCTTAATAGATGAACCATCGCTGGCAAGACCTTGAAGACTCTGCCTTGCCTCACCCCGAAAGAGGATGGATGGTTGCCTCTGAGTTCTTGGGGAGAATGACACTTGCCTCAAGTAACAGGTAGGTCTGAGAACAAACCTGACATGCCTCCCGGGAACCAGTGCTGCCTAGAAATTCCCTCCCCTTGTGTGAAGGCTAACGCCAAAGGACTCCTCTGCTGTCAGTATTCCAAGAAGAGATCCCCCACCTTCCTTCCTCCGGGGTTTGGGTAAGACTATGCATCCTCACTCCCGGTTCCCGAAGACTCCCGATGGTACTCTGGCCTCCCCACCTCCATGAACCCCCCTTTTCCCTGAGCATTTCACAGCAGGACTGATCTCCACGGTGCAGCGGTCTGAATAAAATTATCTCCTTAACTGTCCTGTAAATGTTGTCTTTCATAACTACTACACATTTGTTTTAAGTGCCTAGGAAAAGAATTTTGATAAAAGCTATGAATACCCAAGAAGCAATTATCTCATCAGATTGCCTAATAAGATGTTTTAATTTGAAATTTCAAGTTTGCCCTCTTTGGTCAGTTTTGAGTAAAAAGTGATTAAAAGATGAGGAAATCTTCAAATAATTAATGGAAACAGAATCATCCAATCACCTAGAGAGAATTTCATCAGATACTATTCAGTCAAGCAATTTGATCAAAAAAATTTATAATCCTTTCAAATTGCAAGGATCACCAGAGAGCACAAGGGAAGAACACAATCTGTCTGAAATGGGAAATTTTAAAGAAATACGTGACCAAGCCAAGCCTCCGGGGAGCAAAGCAGGTCTGGCAGGTGGGGCAGGAGAGGGAGCCCTTAACAGGACACGCACAATGGCAAAGAAACACATGTGAGAGGCAGTGGCTCCTCTGGGACTCTCCGAGTGGCCTGTGTGGACTCAACAAGCTGCCCCTTCGAGCTCAACATTACAAAAGCTTCCTCAGGACGGCGAAGAAGGTAAATTTCGTGAAGAATTGTGGCAAAAGACTGGAGGTTAGGTGAAAGACGCAATAGTAAACTCCTGCGAGTAACAGCCCGGATAAGAGAGGACAGAGGTCAGCAGCAGCCCGGGGCGATGACAGCACAGAGGCGGCTCCCGGGCTTCTACCTGGACGCGTGAGGGAACACGGGACTGGGCCTGTGTGGGCGTGCGTGCAGAGATCAGCAGGAAGGTCAGAGGCGCAGCTTCGCCCGTGCTGAGGGTCCAAGGACGGTCTGCTTGAGCTGGAGGGCTCTGTCATTAGCGGGGAATATCTTTTGTTTCTCTTCAACATAGGACAAGAGGTCTAGGAATTGCTGGCAGTTTAAAAAGAGCCTCAGTATTGTAGTGGGCTGCTCTGTCAAGACTTTTGGAGAAAGAATAAGACATCACTTGGGAATGGAATGACCTGAGAAAAGAGGGACTTGCCCTAATTCCTAACAGCACAGTAGAAATAGCACCCATTGTTTACATATGTCACGTATGAGAACCACTGACTTTCTCCTTATGTTTGAGGTAACAGACGCCTCCTTTCATTTTCTACTATGTATGGCCCCTAACGCTAAGTCAACAAAACCACCACCTAGCCCAAGGTACAACCATTGATGTCACCCAGCACTGCCACTAGTTGGGGACATGGTTCGGAGGTCCAGGCAGTTCACTTGCATTCATGGGTTTTACTTTATGCATCAGACATTAGAGGAAACACAGCATAAAGCACATATTTTAATATTTTATAGATAAGTATGAACATCTCAGAAATGAAAGTATGATAAAATTGTATCACGGGGCAGCCTCAAGAAGCTGAAAACTTTATCTTATTATTTGCAATATATGAATATGTAACTTAACGTTCCCACTCTTACTCTGCTCACATTACTCATACACTGAAGCATTTTACGGTATCTATTTTAAAATTCTTATTACAGAAAGAAAAAACCAACTCCTGTATATTTTTAACATTATTGAATGAAAAGAGATGTAGGGCTCTGTTCTTTAAAAGAAAGAGCACTTGTCCAAATGTAGCTACACAGCCCCAAAGGGTGATCACAGCAAACACTGAAAATTAATCATGTGAACTAATCCACTAGCCAGTGAGAAACGATTCACAAATGTCAAACTCAAAGTGAATTTACACAAAAGCAGTTTCTGGAAGTTCTGAAGTAGTGAGCAGCGGTGAGGATGGGGCGGGGGTGAGTATTCGGGAAACCGTCTCGTTGGTTTTGTTTTAGTAAGATCAAAGGTAGTTCAAATTAAACAAATGTACTTGCTTCTTTAGTGATAAAAAGAAACACTTTAAAAATAAAACATTATTTGAAATGTTTTGCATTTCGGTACCATTTCATAACTAAGCAACTTCTTTTCCTAAGAGCAGTGAAATGAGATAACAAATGAGGTAACCCCCACATGTGCCAGGATTACTGATTTTGTGCATCAGTAAGATAAGCTCACCGGATACATGGGCACTGCCGGAATTCTATGAATTGCAGCTATTGGGAAAATAAAAAGAGCCAATCAAATAGGACAAAGGATAAACTCTGGAAAATATCTTCAAATCCCTTCCTGGGGATGGATAGTCTGTCGTCTAGATCTCTGGCAGCTACGTCACTAAAGTGTCTTCAGAAAGACTAGATCTACAGATCCAAGAGACCCTGACTTTTAAAAATAAGCCCCTCACTAGATGGATCCTTCAGATTGTTGACACCCCCCTTTTAATATGGTGATAAAAGTCTGTGATCTAAAGCTGGATTCCCTGCAGAAAACTAAGATGAAAATCTCTAACTTTCTTTAACTCATTGTAGCTTAAGTGTCCCTCCTCTCTTTTCCTTAGGTGAAATCTGTTTTCTTTTGAACAATTTCAGAGACTCTTAATATTTAGGTTGCTTTTTCTAGAAAAATACAACACCTTTCTAATGCTCTCAAATAATATAATAATAGTGACCAGTAGAGCATCAGTATCAGTTTTGAATATTCATATATTGGATAAAGATTAATTTTTATAGTAAAAAAAAAATAAGCCCAGAGAAAATGTGCAGCCAAGTCAACGTCCAATTTGTTAGAGAACACGCACACACGCCACCTCACTTGAGACGCTTTATCTGGCCAGCTCCCAGTGGGTCTATGCGCACACCACCTTCTGGCTCTGCAAGCAGAGAGGGACTAGAGGCAATGAAGCTCGACCAGCTGCAAGGGCCCTGTCAGGGACTCAAGTCTGTGTCCCTGGACATGCAGATGATGAAACCCTGACCCCACGGTGACGGCACTTGGAGGCGGGGCCTTTGGGAGGGGATCAGGTCGTGAGGGGGGAGCCCGGATGAGTGGGATTGGTGCCCCCAGGGGGCTCCAGCGCCTCCGCCCTGAGGACACAGTGAAAAGACGCTGTCTGTGCGCCAGGAAGAGGCCCTCACTGGACACCACATATGCTGGGCCTTCTCTTGGATGTCCGGCCTCCACAGCCGGGGAAAGGCTGTCTGTTATTGGTGAGCCCCCGCCTGTGGTGCTGCGTCACAGCAGCCCAAGCAGACCAAGACACAGAATGGCGGAGCGGGTGTCTGCACAGTCCCTTCTCCACTGCGCATACAGGGCTCCCTGGAGGAAGGCAGCAGGAGCCCAGGACCGCTCAGCGTTCCACAGAGGTGCTGAAGTAGAAAGAGTAACTTGTCAAAAGGGCCATGAGGGGGCTCCCGCTGGCTGAATCTGGGAAAACCTGAGCGTCCCCAACCCCAGGCAAACAGCAGCAGTGGATTAGAACACACTGAGTAGCAACAGACTGGATGAGTCCACACTGCACGGTGGGAGAAGGGGTCCACGGTGCACAAAGGTGCCCAAGCAGCACTTCCACCACTGAGGCCCAAAGATGGCCGTCGGGCCAAGACTAGCTTCTGAGCTTGAACCCTCCTTCCCTCCACGTGGCCTTTGAAAGAAACCTGCTCCAGCTGTCACATTCCGGGAGGGGAATGGGCTCCGTGCAGGAACCACTCCAAATACAGCCATCAACTCACCAAGTCTGGGCCTCAGGAGACACATGGGCCACATATGGGAGGAAATATGCGGATTCACGGGCTCTGCAGGCTGCTGCTGTTTTTATTATGAGATAGACACACAGTGCTGCCCTCCAACCCTCAGGGGTCACACTGCCAACTGCACCGTTCCCAGCCAATTCTGATTCCCTGTTTCCTACTTGTTGTCTCTCCTTTTGTTAAATTTCACTCAAGGAGCTGGAATGACACAGTAAAAAGTGCCACAACTTAATCAATGCAGAGAGATTTCCATGCCTTTTTAAAATGAACAGAATTAGATTGTAACTAGTGGGCTGACCTGAAACAGTACATTTCTGCAGAAACATAAAACAGCATAATTCAAAAAATGTTTTCAAAATTGAAAATTACCGATAACGAAGACCAGAGCAAGAACGGCTCCAGACCCGCCTATCCCAGCCTGACGGCCGTTGTACATTATATTATTTTCTGACATAGGCTCACTATTGATATATTAACTAAATCTCAACTCATATCCAAAAGCCACAAAAACAGATGCCAAAATCTATTTGAGATGCCTCATATTTTATTTTCTCACAGTCTATAATAATGTCTCGTTGGTCTTGAGCTGTGGTTTCACCTCCACTCTTCTATTTAACCCTTCTTCTTCTCCAGAATCATACTGCTTTTCTGTTTATTTTTTTTTAAAGCCACTGAAGTATCTGAGAGAATATCAGATAATTTAGTTTCCTAAATACTGTTTGGAAAGCAGTAACTTTAAAAATAAGTGGAGAGTTGATAACTTCACACAAAGCAAAGCAATAAAGATCTCATGATTGAGGAGGATTCTTGTTCCTCTGGAAGGGACACAAAAACCCTGCATGGAAACCACCACACCCACAGCCACGGCAAGGGCCGGACGCTCCCAGCTGCGCACTTCTACACGCACACACTCTAGCGCAGCCCAGGAACCTAAGGAGACAACTGGGCCCTCGCTCAGAAGTCCCTCTGATGTCAGTGGAAACAAGTGGTAAGATTTCCAGGCCCCCCTCCCACTTCCTCCCTTTGGTCCGTGCTCTGGCCCCATCCTCGGAGGCAGAGGTTCCAGGAGGAACATCCCGCCATAAC